TGGCACCTGGGGTGGCCAGTCTGGTTGGGGGGGTGGCCTGTGCCCCCCAGCTGGCCACCCCGCTGGACACGCCACTGCCCATCAGCCCTCGCCAGCTGTGCCAGATGATTACCAGTCCATCCGTGTGGATTGTTCTACAGCAAGTCTACATATTTTCTCAGTACAGCCTTGAAGTTATTCAACCTTAAGCAACTCTAGCTTTAAGATAACCATTCGAACTACCCGTTACCAGTGGGCAAGTCCAAGTAATGTCCAGGCGACTGGACTTCTTCAAGCTTGTTGACATGAACTTAAAGTCCAGTTGCCTTCTTTCTAAGCTGTTTCATTTTGGTTTTAGCTGATATTTTAGACCCAGTGTGTAGAAACTGTACAACCCAATTTACATTTTCTCAGGATGAATCAAGTTGACTTGAATCTTAAAAAAAGTGACACTTTGAAATATACTAATATAAAATGATCTCTAATCACTGACATCAGTGACGCATGAACAGTTATGCAACTTCTCTAATCAGAAACATAATCACGTTGGACTTCAGGCTTATGTTACGTGATTGCCCCGTTTGGAAGTGAAACGCACACCAGCACAATCCTTTCTGAATATAAAGTCACAAATACAGAGGGCACTAAGGGCTTTCAGTTGTTTTCAGTATAGATGATCCTCAGTTTTGAATTAAAGATTATTCCCTGTTTGGTCTTGACAGTTCATGTGGAAGAAAGAAAAAGACATAAATGTAGAAAAATACCAAAGGAGGCAGAGCTAGTCCTGTATACCTGGAAGGATATTTAACATTTGACTGGTTTATTAAGCTAATTAGACGTTTTAACAGACCTACAGTGAAGACCACACACAGGACTGCTGCATAGACATGAAAAGTAATTCCAACGTGACATTACAGTAGTGACAAACTACACATTGCACACCACAGGTGATAGACCGCAAAATCAATGTTCAGTGTAAGGAGTGTGGGGAAAAAATGCCATAAGAGCAGCTTCAGCATGTCCTGGCATCAGTTTCCCAGGTCTTGAGTTTGAGCACCATTCTTCTACAAGATATCCCCATGGTTGCTGTTTTAATGATAGTAGTTGTCTAACCTCTAAGTGACTGAAGTCCATATCATTTCATTCACATGGCTCCTGATCAAAATATCCATTGAGTGCTTGTGCTTCATGTATGGAACATTGTCATCTTGCAATGAACTGCTTCCATGAAGATCCTTTTATTGTGGTGGGGTATTCATGAGGGACTAATTTTACAGTGGAGGGACAAAGAAACTCAGGAGCCAGTAAGTGATGTGGAAATCAAGAGAGGAAATAAGGCAACGACGGTGTTTTGGAGAAAAACAGACTAAATACACTGTGCCTTTGAGCACTTTCTGTCACAATCACACTACAGTAGGTGCATTTTGGGTTTCAGTATATTGTCCTAGGACATTTCTGTATTATTGTCAGGGCTTTACCTTACAGTATAAAGCGCCTTTAAGCAACTGTGTTAGGAATAGAACTGAATTTACTGAAAATCAATGATCAATCAAGCCACCAACGTTCTGTTTGGTGCTTTGTTGATGGTGAGCGGTAGTTGCCCTCGATAAATGTTTAATAAGGACAACGCAACAATATGAGGTAAAATAAAAGGCAGTTAACTCCTGCTCATGTAGACATCTAGATACTCAACCAAGGCCTCATCAGGTAGGCTGTTTTGACAAATTCAACCAAACTGACATAGACAAAAACATTTCCTAACGATATTTGTTCTATTTAGTTTTGTAAGCGCATGTTGTTGGTTTCTTTAGCTGTCATTTCCCCATTTTTTAATTTTTTTTTTCAGTTTTTTCCCCAGTAAAGATGATCATTTGTAACATTATCACTGCAACATACATTATCAGTGAAGACAAATATTATCTGGATCTTTCCAAATGTCCTCTTTGTGGTAACAGAGTTTTGGGTGACAACACGTTTCCTTCAAATCCTTCTGTGGGAATCTATTTTTCTTGGAGCAGGGTTGGCTTTGTCTGGGGTGTCCTATCAGATTTTAGGGCTGGACCTTGTCTTTCCACACCTCTGTATCACACATAAAAGTATTTCAGGTCAGGGCACCTCTTTCAAATAAGTCAAAGGATTTGTCACAGCTAAAAGAAAGGTGAGTTGTTCATTATTTATAACAAAAAACCGGCAAAAATAATGCTGATACTCATCAACCATCCTGAAATGTGAGTGGTTAAATCATAACTAAAAATATCTAGTGTATCTTGGAACTGCTTGGCAGTTTTTTCACAGCACTTTTACTTTTTCATTATTCAAGTTTTACTTGAGTAGTGGAAAAAACCGAATGATTAAAAAATATCAGGATGTTCTCTTTGTCTTTTATGCTTCCACCAGTACCAACCACAGTTTGTGGGTCGGTCAGAGGCGTGCAACATTTATGCATTACTAACTAAATGAGGACTATTTATCAAATATCTGCTGAACTAGAAAGCTGCGTCCCTTCTACTGATTAAGAGTGGAACAGGTTTGTAGTTATTGTAGTAATCTATAAATGTTCTAAGCTCGTGGTGCTGAGTTAATGGTGAAGAAACAAACACGTGTGGGAAGAAGCCTTTCGGTCCTCTGATGCTCGTATTTCTTCTATTTGCCTCAGTTTGTTGGCCATATACATTATAACACGACTGTCTTATTCGGAAAACCAACACACACACACACACACACACAGACCTCCAGCCCGACTGGTACAAACCTCCTCCCAACTGGAATAAACTTGTTTGTGGCAGCCGCGCGCTTCGCGGGCTTGTAGCGCGCGCCATGATTTGCAGCGATGTGCGATAAAAAGCGTCTCACACGAGGGAAGCTTTATGTGAAAGTACGCGCAGGTCTACCATGTAAAAGCCATTCATGTGCTTAATGTGTTAAACCGATAAACACTGACCGTGGGCTCGTGTGTCGTGGTGATTTATTTATGGCTGTGAATCTCAAACGTACCCTCCAACGCACCTCATCCACTAGGAACAATTAGCTCAGTCTGCAGCGTTGTTTTTCACGGTACCGGGCGCGGCGCCGGTCTGCAGGCACTACGCGACGTTCTGTGTCGTCAGTTATGTTGCACGAGGAACCTTGCGCGTTCACGAAGTCCAGACCTGCGCGCCCGCGTTTGAATACCGGCTTGAGCCGGTAAAGAGCTGCCAAAGCAGGCAGGAAATCATCCGCTGAAGACAAAAGATGCAGCTCCCTGAGCCTGGACGCCTTTGTGTCTAAGCCGGACCACTTTCATTCTTCACATATTGTTTGCAATACGTAGATATTACAGTCTGAGAAAGGTTCCGCCCAGTGTTCGTCCAGACAGCCCCGAACCGCACAGATCCACTATAATGATCATGAGATAGGAGAACTTTGCTCCATCACACGGCTGTCCTCCCTCACCGCTCTGGAGGTAAGTCCGACCTACGTTGGTCCGTCCGGCGGTAGGATGCTGTCGGTACAGCGGTAGCGCCTAATGTTAACATTTTCTAAGGTTTATTATCTGAACTATACTTTACTGAAGTATTTATTATTCTATCAAAGGCGCACAGAAATCACTTCAAGACTCGAATGAAGCGACATTTTTAGAAACCTTTCACAGTTAATAGCAGCAGGAGTCAAGAAATAACTTCTGCGCTGTGTTTTAGTGGGTAAGAAAGCCCACGGACGCGATATATTGACATCATCCTTCCTCTGCACTGCGGATATGTCGAACACAGGCAGCCCTAACGGATACCGCGTCAGTATTTAGGCCGTATCTTTTTCATACTGTGTAACATTTTACTTTTAAAGTTGGCAGAGGCAGCTTTCATTGTTCTACTGTCCATATTTAGTGTGTGTCTAATAATCTGTACACTACTTGTTTAAGGTCGGAACCATCCTGTCATTCTCGGTGTTCTGATTATTTTATTAATGATTCAAAGATGATGAGAAATTCTGATCACATGCTCCCACAGTACTACCATATCATCACAATACTTTATTAATCCCTAAGGAAATGATGTGGGTTACAGTTGCTCCAACACAGTAACAGGTTAAACTATTTAAACAAACAATATGTTACATTGTTGTCAGTTTCCAGCAGATCTGTGATGTGTATGCACCTCAGTGTTGTACTTAAGCATAGTAGTGTTGAACCAGAATGATTTTCTAAGCTGCCATTTCTGTTTTTAGGACATCAAGTGAGACTTTTTTCTTTTTAAATCTGACGTTACAGAAAAATTAATAATGCCTGAAAATCAATGTTGCTACTGATCATTGATCTGAGGGCCCAGTACAAATAATAATCAACCACTTGTTTGAATGTAGTTTATAGAACTTTTAGAAAACTTTTTAGTTTTGTTCTCCATAAAAACCAGTGGCGTTACGTAGATATACTGGAAAGGGTTCAAATATAAAGAATCATAATTCATTTTAGCTATGTATATTTCAGGCTGTGGGAAAGAATATTAATAAATAATATTAGGGCTGGGCGATATGACCCAAAATTCATATCTCGATATTTTTTAGCTGGATGGCGATATAAGATATATATCTCGATATATTTTTTTTTAAAGCCATAAAGTAAGAACAAAAAGAGAGTTCTTAGTCAAAGCTGTGTCCCAGATGTCACACAGGCACTTTTATTAACATACAGCACAGATGTACATGAAAAATTACTCAAAATTAAATTATGGACCTTGTCTTTCCACACCTCTGTGTCTGTTTTTGTCACCACAGTGTGCCGTTTACTGAGCTTTACTTTTGCAGATGTGCTCTGTTCCCAAGTTTTACTGTGTGACTGATAGCCTGGAGTTTGAAATCCGCTTCATAACCACGTCTCTTACAGGTGCCATTTATGGTCCTTATACACACACAGTACGGTAATATTACGTTGATGCACAGTACGTATCACTCCGCGAAGCTCTTCGGTAGCCGTAATGCGCCGACAATCTATCAAGCGGTGCAGCTCCGTAGCTTACCAAAGTCGTACTCAAACATTTTTGACAGATTGCTGAGCACCGTGTTCCACATAAAATCGGTTCGCGGCCATCAAGCACAACCAGAATTCATACATAAGGCGCGCTATCAATTTTTGAGAGAATGAAAGGATTTTAGGGTTAGCGCTGTTAGCTCGTTAGCGCGGTTAGCTCGTTAGCATGTTTAGCTCGTTAGCACGTTGACGCCGTCCAGCCCCACGCATGGGGCGATGCGCAGTAACTCGTTAACGGAGATTTGCCGTGTCCGTCTTGTCGCTGCCTGCACGTGAAGCGATGGGGTAGGAGGGGGAGTTGTCTTCAGTGAAGGCGAGGCAGAGTAACGTTGCGTAGAGACAAAAGTGGACGAAAGAGAGGCAAACCTGCGGCTCCACAACTATAATTATAACGTAACATAGTCTATATCGATATAAAGGATATTGTTACATCTTATATCTCGTATAAAAATATATCGATATGTTTTAAAAACTCGATATATCGCCCAGCTCTAAATAATATCTTTACATCAGTTTTGGGAAAGGTGGATTTTCAGGCTCATCTAAGAGTTAATTTCATGACTGACACATTCGTTTGTTTGTTACATTGTTAATGGTATTACAAGTGTAGTTGTTCTCAAACCTGGAAAGCTTCGTGTTTTTAAGGAGAAGTTGACTTTACTTTAAATCAAAGTTTTTTGCTTGAAGATTTTCAGGTTAAAGAATAAATGCAGATAGTTTCTGCATCGAGTAGTGTAGACTTGAGTTGCAGTTTTCATGCTAGGACTTAAATATATTCACACTGTTAAACAGACCAAACATTGTTAAATTGGCAGTTAATTAGAGATAACTATATTTTTAATACCCGTGAACCAAAACATCTGTAGTTGTATAAGAAAATGGTGTATTAAATTTGTGACATTAAAATCAGTTTTATTAGTTAAAAATGTTTATTTTAACTTTTTAACTTGTGATTTCAGTGTGAGTTTGTTAGATGTGCATCAGAGTTGCACAAAGCAGATGAGGGAGTTAACTTTCAGGGTAAAAGACCTTGTGCAGACAAAATGCTGCCTGAAAACACTCCTGGTTTGATTTTTAAGTGTGCAAAGAATGGAATAAGAGTGTGTCAACATGAAAGAAATACATCGCACAGGCTGTTCTAAACTCAACCCACTCGAGTCTTACCCTGGCTTTTACAGTAAAGAGCCAATTTAAAAATAAGTGACCACCTTAGTTTGTCTTCTAAACAATGCAAAAGCAGAGATTCAGCATTTTTACAAAATTGTAGTTTAATATTTAAATTTCTTTATTCCAGTGAAATCAAGCGGGTACAGTAAGATTGGTTGGATTTGTGTGTAGTGAGTAATTAAATTTGTTATCTCTTATTCTCTTTGTGTAGTACATCTGACAAAGGAAGTGGTTTCACTGAGGTATATGGAGTGGGCTTATGTTAAATGGACTAGTTACTTTACGGTCAAAGTATTGGTTCTTCTTTATTAACCAGTGCTATTTCTGTTAAATGTGCCCGACTTGGTGCTCAGCAGCAGCAAAGGGCTGTTTTTATTTAAAACATCTCTGCTTCTGCTGAAGTCCTGCTGCTGCCAATTGGCCCAAAATCAGCAAATTCACCTTTGACCTCCAATTATAACTGTTTTTTCCATCTCTTCCTGCAGGTGACTTGGTTTAGCAATGAAGATACCCAATGTCCAAAGTTGTCTGGGTCCAAACATTTACCCAGAGGTCCCCGATGGTGGTTGGGGCTGGGTTGTGGCTCTGGCTTTTTTCCTAGTGGAGGTCTGCACCTATGGGGTCATCAAGAGCCTGGGTGTCTTCCTCCAGGATCTGATGGAAGAGTTTGGGGAGAGCAACAGTCGTGTGTCGTGGGTCATTTCCATCTGTGTCTTCGTTTTCGCCTTCTCTGGTCAGTCTCTTCTCCTGCACTCTTTAAGTTTTTAAGAGACTTTGTGCATGCAGACAAATTGAATGTAAGACAAAGCCAGGAGGTAGTGTCAGGGCCCATTCCCTAACCTCCCTGATCAGCTGTTGTTAGAATTTATTTAATATTAATTTCTAGTATCAGCTGATGTTTGCTGGAGCCACAGCTGTAAAGCTGCTGGTCATGATGTCGGTTTGGATATGTGGTGAGAGGGAAACATGAAGATGAAACCAGGAGATGTCCTTACTGGATCATCAGAGCTGTGATGGAGAAACAGGTTTACCTTTTAGGAGACATGGATGAGTTGAAGTTATGAACTGTTTCTGAGAGACAAATAACACCAGGATCCTTTTCTAAGCAGCTGACAGCTGGTAACTGTGCAGGGGCGGGTCTAGCAAAGTGTTGCCAGGGGGGCAGGTAGGGCATTAACAGGGAGAGGGGGGCACAGAGATATACTTTTCTTTCTTATTCTCATACGAAATGTCTCGCTTTTATTAAATAATTATCTGAATCTTACAACCAAAGTTTTCATCTGATGTAAAATGTTTAGAAATCCATTATTGTATTCAGTAAATATTTAGTAATATATACCCTACTAAGTTATAGTATTCTTTCCTTTGGGAAGGTACCATCTGTGCAGTCTGCAATTCTGTTGAAGAAAGATGTTGAATCTATTTAATAACTGGAGAAAAATGATAGGTTTCTGTGCATTTGCTTTATAAGTGCATTAAATTAAAAACATTTTTGTCAGTTAAGCATCTTGAGGCAGAGGGTGGGGGAGTGGTTCCCTATTTTTTTTCTTTTCTTTTTTTGCTGGGAGTTAGCAACCCTATAAGTGAGGTATATGTAATTATAAATTAGGTTGTTTTATATTTTTGCTAACTACTGTTTAGAATACCAGAATAAGGAGGATGGTGTAGGTTTAAGTTTATTATAAATGGCTTTTCCTACTATACCATGGTGGGCCGGTCATTAGTCAAAATGCCCGGGCTGATTTTTTGTCCCAGTCCAGCCCTGTATGGACTCCATATCAGGAAGGATCAATTCTTGGCCCCCTCCTGGTATTAGACTTTGCCTATGATGCGTATCACAATACATAACAATACATTGCTGTTGTGATTTTCATCCTCAGCTCCGCTGTCGACAATGCTGAGCAACCGCTTTGGCTATCGACCTGTGGTCATGACGGGAGGCTTCCTTATTAGCCTGGGAACTATCACCTCTGCCTTTACCAGCTCCGTCACTGAGATGTACATTACCACTGGGATTGTAGCAGGTACTAAAAAGACACAAGCTTTTCCACACCTCTGTGTCTGTTTTTGTCACCACAGTGTGCCGTTTACTGAGCTTTACTTTTGCAGATGTGTTTGTCTTATTTAACACCCTGTGAATTCTTTGACTTGATCTAAAGGGACTCCTAGCAGTGTGAGCAACAAAATCTGCTACAATGTATTTCTTCCACAACTGTGCAATGAGTGAGAGGTGAACGGCCTCTCCCAAACACCATCCAGTCAGGTCTACTCTGATGTCTTAGCTGTCCAGGACTGACAGAACAGAGCAGAACAGGAAAGTAAAATAGTTCCCAAAACACAAATTGTACTTTGGGATCAGGTGTAATAAAACTGAAGCAGCTGAAGACAGAGCAGTAAATTGACTTAACCAAAGTGACAGATTGAATGACGAACCAGTTGGTGGAGTGAAATGTCATCAAGGCACATTAACTTGCTTTTTTCTTGGACAGAAAGCACTGCTAGCTCTCCCACCCTAATGACCATGTCGGCCTGTGGACTCCAGCTAACTTGGCAACTCCTTCTCTCTCCCCCGTCTCTCTTTTTTTTGTCTTTACATGCCTTTTGTCTTTCAGCAGCAGCTGTAGCAAACCCGAGTCATCACAAGCAGCCTACCATCTTTGACAAAGGAGTGGCCTGACACCCTGAATCTTTGACCCACCCCCTAGCAGTGTTCTACCATGCGGACCAGTGGCTGTCATGTCCCCTTTTTCTCTTCTCCTTTCTTTACAGGCCTTGGCTACTGCCTCAGCTTCCTCCCCACTATCACCATCCTAGCCCAGTACTTTTCTGGACGGCGAGCGCTCGTCACCTCGATGGCTTCTTCAGGAGAATCTGTTGCTATGTTTGTATTTGCCCCAGGTAAGTGATAAAAGAGCCTTTACATCAGAAATGGCTTGTGACCTATATTCTGATTGTTCTTCTCCTCGTACCTCCCATTTTTCCACAGCTTTCACTACACTGAAGGAGCATATTGGCTGGCGCTTCTGTCTAGTTATTCTAGGTATAATTCAAGCATCTGTGATTGGCTGTGGGGTTCTCCTTCGTCCAATCGTCATCGAGGAAGAACCTTTAAAGAAACATGATGACGAGACGCTCTCCATGAAAGAGATGCAGGCTGTTTACGAGCTGGAAAATGAACAAACCAGAACCTCCATCAGTTCGGACATCTCCCAAGGTTCACAGGACTCTGGTGTCACCTCCCTGTCTGCCTCAAATGTAGACCTGAGAAATGCAGAAGGAGAAACCAAAGCTCTGATGGAGTGGAAGGACAAAGTGCCGGACAAAGACGGTGAGGACATATCACTGTCCATGCCTTCTGCTCAAGTCAGTGAGGACAAGGGGGAACTGGCAGAGCTAGATAGGGGCCCTGTAAGTTCCACAGGTTCCAAACTTCTGGACTTCTCAGTCCTTAAAGACCCTGGCTTCATCTGTTACTCCCTTTTCGGTCTATTCGCCACTCTTGGCTTCTTTGCGCCACAGCTCTACATCATTGAACTGAGCAAAAGCAGGGGTGTGGAATCCACCATGGCCTCCTATATGCTGTCTGTGATGGCTGTGGCTGACATCTTCGGCCGCTTGCTCATCGGAGTGGTGCTAAACAAAGTCCGATTCAGAAAGACCTTGGTGTTGTTGGGGTGTGTGGTTCTGATGAGCTTGGTTCTGGTGGCCTTCACTATCGTGTGGGAGTTCTGGGGTTTGGCAATATGCTCCGGCTTCTTTGGCTTCATCATGGGCACTGTGGGCTCCACGCACATTCCCATGCTGGCTGAAGAAGATGTCGTGGGCATCGAGAAGATGCCGTCATCTGTGGGAGTGTATGTTTTCATTCAGAGCTTTGCTGCACTTGCTGGACCACCGTTGGGAGGTATGAGCGCCTACTTCTTCGGTTTGATTTAACACATCTCTGGGTATAAAGTCTTAACAGCTGTCTCATTTTTCCCCAGGTATGCTGGTGGACATCACTGACAACTATGGTGCTGCTTTCTACTCCTGTGCAGCAGGCACAGGTCTTAGTGCCATCTGTCTGGCTCTGGTTGGCCCTGCCAAGTCTAGAACGTGCCAAAGAGGGAGCAGAGTCCAAGAGAATGCAGAAGAGGTGAAAATATCTCAGAATAGTGACCAAGCCGACTTTTTGGAGGTGGACTTGGCCCCAGAAGACAGTCCAGTTGGACAGGGTGAGGATCAGGACAGCTGCGTTATTTGAGTCCAACCACAGCGTGGCATCACAATGGACAGAAGTGTCAACCAAACAAGTGCAGATGTACTGCAGGAGGCGTCATTGCCACAAACACCAGTGACGGCTGGAAAATCTCAGGTGTCGCATTTCCACTTTTCAGCAAACTTGAAATTCACTTCTTCCAGTGAAGAAAACAATCTTACATGAGACCAATGAAACATCCGTGAGCACATGTCCACACTTTTCTGTCTGTTTAGGGTAAAACCTTTCTTTTGCAATGTGTGAATTGTATAGAGAACTGCTATCATGATGTAACTCCGGGTTTAGCCTCTGTTCTGTGAGCTTTAGCAATGCAACCATCCAGCAACGTTTCATGAAAAGAGAGCGCATCGACTCTTAACACTTCAAGAAACCTTCATGTTGATCACTTTGTGAATATAGTAGAAACTACAGGTTCCATTTGGTAAAACCAGCCTGGGTACATCTTTGTAGCTGTGTCCCAAAACCTATGTCGCATCCTTCGGAGGCCGCATTTGAAGGCTGAATATGTCCAAATGCAGCCGGAAATGGGACCTTCATTTCCCCGGATTTGAAGGGCGTCTCCTTCATGCCCCAACCTATCCCAGAATTCATAGCCCAGCCAATTCCAGTTTTCAACAATGGCAGCCGCTACTAAGTTTTAATATTACTTTTATTATTCTTTTTGGGTCACAAAATAAACTTTTAGCATATTTTCAGGCGAGAAAGCAGCCTTTTAAACTTTAAATATCAGTTCGGTTTATCAAGACACCACATATTTGCAAAAGCGCTCCGACGTTTTCAGAGATGTCTGTTACCCACCAGCTCGATAGCTGACCGGGAGGTCAAGGGTCACTAGAGCCGGTGAGAACACCGGACTCCCGGCACATTGTTTTCAAAAACGGCTACTCAGGTTAAACATGATATATACGTCGCTTAGATAACTTAAAATGTTATTGTTTGGCTTTGTGTTTTATTTGTTCCTGTAAATCGGTTTGGCTGAGATTAAATTTGTAGTTGTCAGCTGAATAAACGTCAAACGTCAAAGTGTGAGACAGTCGAGAGTTTACTCCAGTGTCCTGTTATATTTCAGATAGCAAGGAGCAGATGGCCGAGTTTATTAAACTCCACCGAGACCGCAGCGACGCAAAACTAAAGGCTAGACCGTCCAATTTCACAGCCTCGCACTTCCGGCCTTCTCGGTCTTTGGAGGACCCGGCCCACGTAGACTGCATAGAACGGGTCCTTTGAAGGATGCAGCCTAGGAATTGGGACACAGCTCATATCATTGGTTTTGTCTGTGTTTCGAAACCTCACTAGATTAGCTTACATTTAATAATTACTACTTAACATTTTTTCCAAGCCACATGACCAGTGGTTGTTCCAAAGCTTAGAAGTGTTTGGAACCAGACCAAACGTTCTCCTTCTTACTTGAGCTCTGTATTAAGGGCCAGTACATCCGCCGCAGTGGTCGCTTCACTCGCCGCCACAGCCTTGTCTCACAGTCAGTTGTATTTCAAAACCAGAAGCCAAGACTTCATCGAGTGTTTTATTGCAAAGTTTTTTTCCACACTTGTTTTTTTTCCACCTGATCCAACATCTCAGCTTCTGTACTGGAATATGATTCAAATGGCGGTTCAAAGCGACCCGATCCCAGCTGCAGCAGGCGCAGTGCACAAAGTTACAAAAAGCAAGAGGTGCACGGCTGGCCAAAGTGCCGCAAAGATTCTGTCACGTGACACGTGATGTCATAATTGGTGCGTGACACAGCGAGGATAACGGGGGCATTTGTTTCTGCTAACGTTGGCTCGATGTGCCTGTCTCGGGAAAGGAGCTGCGTTGTTAACTTTCCCATGTTCACACAAACTGTTGTCATGATCATTCCTGCTGAGCACAGGTTTTTGGACCCATTCTTGATGCCCACATGATAGGGTCACTTCAGAAAGTTGGAACTTGCTCCTCGTGGCTTTAAACATCACTGATGTGTCTGTATGAAGGACGATTTCCAGAAATGCAGTTCTGCAGTCTCAACACAACGCCCGGCTCCTCTCTGATGGTTTTATGCACATTCATTTAACTTATTTTTAATCGACTGCTTTCTCACATGATGTTATCCATAGCAACACTGCAAGTACAGCAGCAGTGTTCCCTGATAGGTTGGCTGAACTGAAGCACCAGCTGGTCTGTGCATCTGGAGCCTTGAATGATGGAAAAGCTGCAGATTGTGGGATTAAGTTATGATGAGAATCAGCACCACTTCACATCCCTAATTGTGCTTTGTGTAAACGTGTTGTCCTTATATTATCATGTTATGATCCTATTGATGTACTGTAGAATTACACGTGAGGCCAGTGGTGATACAGCAGAAGTGAAGGTTTACAGTGTTTTTTGTTTGTTTGTTTTTGGCCAGTGTCACGGTTGATGAAATGCAAAGTGCACAGTGTATGTATGCAAAGCTGTGACTGACAAATTTGATTGGAGACAGACGTTCGTTGAAGCGCCTCTCCCTTCGTTGTGCAGGCTCACATTGTCTCTACACACATCACAGCCTGACTTGAATACTTTAATCACTGTATCCTTTGTATTTAAAGTGTTTTGGATGTTGATTGAATCTATTTTTTACCTTTCTTCTGTTTAGGTCATTTTTTAATCTGAGTACAAAGCAGGGTCCTGCCTATTCAGTGCTGTATCGCTCTCATGATATATTTTCCAAATAAAGCCTGAAACATCTGTGTGTAGGGTTTGCATTTTTTAAATAATTATATGTTAATCATCTTTTCATTGATCAAAAAGAACAATTAACAGAAACTGATAGTTGTGATCATAACACACACAAAAAACAGCAAAATCAATTACACATCATTTCCAGGTTAATATTTTCTTCCTCATTTCTCCAGCAGCATCTTCATCAGCTGCCTCGTTTTTGGCCACGTCCTCATCAGAGAAGTTCATACTCCTGATAAAGTCCATAAATATCTCCATGTACATTTAAGAGTGTGTTCGCTCACCCTTCTAAACAGAAGTAATGTTTCTAATGGTGAGTTGGAGATACGTTCAGATTTGCGTCTTAGCTCTGCTCACCTGTGGACCCTGGTGTGTATTTAACCCTGTTTTATTCCATCACTTGTTGCGATCCCTCAGTGTTGTGTGTTTGATCGGTTCCTTACGCTCTAGTTCCTCCTTAGTTTACACACAAGCTCAGCAATAAGCCGTGAGTTTAATTCTGTTCTACATTTAGATTTCCTGAGGCGTCAGATTTCAGCTATGGCTACAGTTGTGTCTCCCAAACACACTGAAGCTGCACACCAAAACCACTTACCAACAAACAACTTGTGTCATGGTTGGAAATGTGCTTCTACTGTTGCGCTGCACCATCCATCAGAAGGAGGAATGCTGGCTATAGGATCATCTACCCATGAAGATAAGTGTTGTTGTTCTTGCATGATTTGTGTTACTAACCCAGGAAACACAACCTGAAAACCCTTTGGCCATGTCATGATGGACTTCACTGAACTCAACGCTTCTGAGTTTCCCTGATGGTCAGAGATGCCGTCGTCTCCCACCACCTGTGTGATGTAAAACCCGGTGATTGGGGCTAAACTGCTCAGGAGGGAGCACTGGCAGCGACCCTCCTAAGGGCTACTCATCATGAATACCACGGTCAGAATTGGTGAGAGGGCCAACTGGATCCATGGCAGCTCCTGCAGGAGAATCCCATCAGCACCAGCTGTTCCCTACAGAACAGCACCTGATACCTTTGAGTGTGCACTTATGCTGCTCAGGTGCTGGTGTATCACAGGTCCCTGAGAATACACGTGCATGAGCCACATCCACACCAGAGATGACATGAGTGGCAGGCTTGTCTGACATAGAATAGAATAGAATAAAATAGAATTCAACTTTGTCATTGCACATGCACAGGTACAGGGCAACGAAATGCAGTTTGCATCCATCCAGAAGTCCTTTAGTGATATAGATATATTAGCAATAATATAGATATGTGAGTATATTACAGAAATGGGTCTATTATGGTATGTTATAATGTACACGGTATGAAGTATGTTGTGAATATTCTATAACTATAAGTATGTACAGGCTGTAGTGAGTACAAGCTATGTACAGGCTATGAACAGGATATAAATATGAAAAACTATACAGAATATGAAATAAATAACTTTACAGAATATGAGATATACAGCTATACAGAAATAGGAACTGTGCAAGTTGTAAACAGTTGTAGGGTTAAAGATTATCGAATGTACAGAATGATTATTTACACAGAGCTATACAGTAGTGCAGTTAAGATAAGTGAGGGTGTAGATAGTTTCTACAGAGG